GGGTAGGCATTTTCAAATTATCGTAACTTGGTCGAAATCTCGGTCTTTTGGAGAGATCGAAATATGCACAAATGTAGGCCGAAGAGAAAACGCTCAGCTGTCGTCTCGAACAATTCCCAAAGCGATAGGAAGAGCGGTTCTTGAGTAACAGCACTCGTAATTCTGGTACAGTATGCCGGGAAAATTGCGCTGGTCAACGGCTGTTATTTACCTATTTACGTCACCCATTGGCAAGGCTACACCAATTCAAATTCAAAAGTAGGTTCCCGGGAGTATTTACGAAAAGATTTGACTTTGATACGAGCAACAGGAGTGAAATGGTGAATGGAGATCGATTTCGAGAGAGCCCAGCGCTTCCCTGGCTTGCAGCGCTGGGCCAGTGCATCCTGTGGAGCTGCGTGTACACTCATTGTGTTCCTCTCGTCAAGACCTTTCCAGGATGCCCAAGATCGTGGAGATTGTCCAATCCAAACCAGGGCTTGTAATATACATTAATTTTTTAATCGGACAGTAAAGGACTAACTTAACTCTGCTATTATTTCCGTCTTGATGATGGGCCTGAAAATTTGGTGAAATTTAAAGATAATCGCCATGAAGAGACCGTTTTCGGAGTTGAAGAGAAGAGTTAAATCATGTAATTATTGAAAAATGAGTGACCGGAAAATGGCCGTGCGACTAACAGTCGGGGAAATACGGTAGGTACTCACAGACTTCTACGCTAGTTTGCCATCATGACATTCTGCAATGGGCGGCCTAATGGAGATGCATGCTGATCTCTTTGCTTGTGCTGTGTTTCTGTGCCGACATCCAGCGTCCAATGCCAGAACAAATGTATCAAGGAAGCATATCGGATAATGTGCCGGCCCTGTGCCGATGCGAAAGGTCTCTGTACCAAATGCGGAAAGCCAATCCCAGCGGAGGGTAAGTTCATGACCTATACATGAACTGGTGCAAGTTTATTCTTGACCTAATAGCAACCGACCATATAGACCATGTTTGTAAGAGTAGAGCTCTACATTGGATGCATAACCTCACGTTCAATTGGAGCAAGGATTCAACAAGAGTGATTCTCGCGTTTGGCCCCTGGTTGGTGGATCTGATTCATCCACCGCTCACGAGCTGCATCTGACACCTGACCATGGGGTGGTGGAATCCCACGCAAGCGGAAAACAGGTACTGTATAAGCAGAAATATTCGTCTGGAATTTAATTTCGTCTTTTTCGTCCAAGGAGCTTTTGGACTAAATTAAATGTAGGACGAATATCGATTTGTCCAGCGTTTCTATACACTCTTATGATCTTCGGACGAAAATTTCAACCGGACGAACTCCTTTTCTTTGGAGTTGGACGAAATTATTGACCGACGAAATTTTCTGCCTCTACAGTACCTAGTACAGTAAAACCTGTAACTAAAGACCACCCCTTGGGGCCAGAGAAACCGGTCTTTAGTGGCAGGTGGTCCTTTGTTACAGGTTTGCACTGCACAACCATAATTATATGAGTGTGAGACCGTCCGTGCCTGGAGAAATGGTCTGTAGTAGCAGGCTGGTCGCTAGTCACGGTGGTCTTTAGTTACAGGTTTTACTGTACCTACGAAACGGTGCTAAGGGCCGGGTTCCACTGCGGCTCCGCGGCACCTAGATTTTTGGGTTTTACCATGGTAACCGCGGAGTGGCGGCCTGCCACGGGCTTTCGCGTTGCGTTTTGTAGTGTGGTGGCTTGCCGCGATTGCGGCTTGGATTGTTCATGATCACGTGAACTGGGAAATGCTGGCGGGAAACTTGAAATCTGCTTTGAAGAAGCAAGACCGGACGACGGACAACAAGATCTGTTGTGTCTTTCACTCGTTTTTGTCAGTTTCAACTTTGTGAGTGTTTCTCTTCCTTCCGTTTGCGATGGGTTTCAACTGGCCAAAAGATTTGGAGCGGGCTGCCACGGGCTTTCGCGTTGCGTTTTGTAGTGTGGTGGCTTGCCGCGATTGCGGCTTGGATTGTTCATGATCACGTGAACTGGGAAATGCTGGCGGGAAACTTGAAATCTGCTTTGAAGAAGCAAGACCGGACGACGGACAACAAGATCTGTTGTGTCTTTCACTCGTTTTTGTCAGTTTCAACTTTGTGAGTGTTTCTCTTCCTTCCGTTTGCGATGGGTTTCAACTGGTCAAAAGATTTGGAGCGGGCCACGCTGAAACTTTGGCATGTTGTCAGCAGCCGGTTCCAGAAGCAGATGAAGACTGCGAAGAGAGAGTGGCTGAGGAAAAAATTGGTGGAAATGAAGAGAGATGGCAAACTTCTGGCGAGTCACGGAGAAAATGATGTGGAGGAGTTGACTGATGACGTTGTGAAGAATAAGATTGACGGACTCAAGAAGCTGGGCAAGAAGATGATGGAGAGGTAGATTGTTCCTATCCTGAAAAGGAACAAAAAGGAGCCCCCTACTGGATCAGGAGTGGATGACGACGATCAGCAACTTGATGGCGATGCGATTGAGGAGGTCGATTGGGGGGAAATTGCAAATAAATGCACGTGGCATCTCGTCAGGTTATATTTTGAACTGTTCGGTGATCACCCCACCTGGGGCTGTGGACTTGGAGGAGCTGTCGACACAGCTACTGTTGTTTTTGAGGAGTCGCAGGGTGCTACCAAGATGGTAGTTGCAGCTCCAGTTGGTGAGACCAACTCCACGTCCAGCACATCCTCTGAGGATGTTGGCGCAGCACAACTACGTACAAAACGAAAGCGCTATGAGCTTGTTGATAACAACATGGACAGTGATGATGATGATACTCTAACAGTAACTCCACCACCAAAGGCAGTGAAGGCTGAGCAGAAGGCGACGCCGACAGCCAGTGGAACGTCCCGGGTGGCGTACCAGCAGCAGCAGTTCCTGACGCAGTATGCAGACATCCAAGCCCAACAACAGGAGCAGGAGCATACATTCCAGGTTTGTGCATGTGTTTTTGCATGTGTTTGTGTGTGTGCATCTTCTGTATGTGTGCCGGCGTGTGTGCGCACATCTGTAATTTTGTATGCATGTAGATATCTGGAATTTTTGATTTCCTGGATATGCAATAATAATTATCAAGAGTGTATAAACAAGAGTATGCAACTGTGGTTATGGGTCAGTGCGCTGTGTGCTGCCTTCATTACGTAACTTGCCTCCATCACGCTCTGAAAGCATGCACTCAAACCCACAATTTATTGTACGAGCCCATCCGTTTTCGCTCGATTCGTTCCAGCACCTCCAAGATCTCTAAATTTTGGCACGTGAACTCCAGTTCCGTACGAAAGTTCATTTCAAACCAAAGGGAAAGTGCAGTGTTTGATTTTGCGCAGTGCGCAGACTGCAGCTGAATGTTGTAATGAAGGCAGCGTGCCGCGCATCTGGCCAATAGAAAAGAGATCACAGTTGCATACTCTTGTTTATGGACTGTTGTGATTATATTTGATTGAATTTGATATACGTGGACTAGCGTAAAGTAATTACTGATTTTGTTATTGTTGCCCCTTTTCTCACGGTTACAACAGACGATGACCCACCAGTCCAACCTGGCAAAGGACCGGAATACTCAGCTGCAGCAAAACCAGACGTTTCAGGCGGGCTTGCTACAGAATATGATGGCATTTTAAGCGAACCTCCTCAAGAATATCCTTCAGGATGATAAAAATGATGAAAAGTAAGTAATTTATACAAAAGAGAAAGACCAAGGAACTACAAGTTACGCTATACTGTCCACTAACACCACCAGTTACTAAACAATCAGCTCATGCGATAACATTGCACGACACTGACCGACTGATTGTTTAGTAACTGGTGGTGTTAGTGGACAGTATAGCGTAACTTGTAGTTCCTTGGTCTTTCTCTTTTGTATAAATTAAACCTTGGCTCTCCATCTGAAAAGTAAGGAATATATAATAGTCAAATTTTATTTGAATGGTTTACGATTGGCACCCCGAGGACTGTTTCTCATCGTAACAATTTCTGCTCGAACAAAAATTTCAGAAATGTTCATTGCCAATTTTGATACTTGAAGAAGTATAATTATTACTTTATTTTTGAGCAATCTGTGTGAGGCAAGGAGTTGTTCATGATGCTTCATCTTCTATATCTAATATCTCTTCCTTTGTTTGTCTACTTGTATGCCTGCATTTTCCCTGTAGGTGATGGTCTGGTGTGTGAAGATTCAAACACGACAGTCTTTGCACAAGCATCCGTTCAGTCACAGCTTGATGGCGACGATATGTGCATGGAGTGTAGAGTAATGCCCTAGGTTTTCTTCCTTCACATCACACATTGACGTGCATGCACAAAACTACTGCTGCTTATTCCATTCTCCTGTTTTTATGTAGTTATTTTTCAATATTATCGCTGGTATTCCATGGCAAGGACAACGCTCAGTTGAACGTTTAGTCGGGCTGTCCCGGTACTCTTGATACAGCATACCTACAGTATCACGGGTCTATACTCTATACTATTCATATTGCTGTTTTATGGTCAATTCAGAAAGCTCATCGGTCATAAATGTGTCGTCACATTACATTGTAACAACTCGGTATGTCTGGCAAAACAATAATATTATTGTGATCATCATAGTTCGGCTGAACGGGTCTACCAATGAGTTACTTTTCAGTGTATGCTACAGGCTGTGGACATGAAGCAGTTGGGACTTGACAAATACAATACATATTTACAGACGCCAGACCATCTGGTAAAAGGAGAGCGATCGCTCTCGCGCGCCTTCGCTCTCCTTATTTTCTTTTAGGGCGCACTTTTCGTCGCGCGCCTTGAGAATTTCGAGCGCATCCGCATCACTCACGATGAAGTTCTGAAAACACTCAAATATTTCGTAACTCGGCTTTCCCTGAACGGAATCGAGTAATCGAAAGGTCTATTCGCATTAGAAAGTTCTCAGCTGTTGGCTTCAACAAATCGAAAGTCGATCCGAGGTACAATAGTGGAGTTACGGCACTCGCAAAGCATTTTACGTACCGTTGCAAATTTTCACTTCCGCACTTGGGCGGCAATCATAATTTTTATTAGTGTTTTTATATATTAAAGGATTTCCCTCTGTTGCGTGACAGTCCAGGCATGCATAGACCTGTGTGACGCCAGGCACAGGTCTTTAGCGGTCAGATACAGAAGAAAGGAGCGCTCTACGATGAATACTACAAAAATACCATGGATCTTAGCGAATTGTCTCGATTTCCCATTGCGTGTATCATTGTCTCTGATGAAGGGAAACTAAAGTTAGTTGTGGTCCGAACAGCTTTCATTTGTAGTGCGTACGGCGATTTTCCAAAACGAATTTGGCAGCTATTGGGTATTGAATCCGATTGGGGTATGGCAAGATGTTGAAAAAGCCTGTATTGTGCTCGCCTTGGATAGATAAGGCGAGCGACTTTTTTTTGGGGGGGGGGGGGGGACTGCTCTCCCACCACTCTCCTTGAGAGGATAGCGAGAGTGATTGTTCACTCTCCTGGATTTTTCTTACACGAAGGTCTGAGACACACAAGAAAAAATGCATGCAAACACCAGTGAATTGGAATAGTACTCGGACGCACAGCCAAGCTTGCGAGTAACGACCTTAGATACAACCATAAATAGCGAGTAATGACACTTCTCATCCTCGGCCACATGCTGTTAGTTGAATGTTTAACTGTGTACGCATACACCCGCAAAGGAGCATGTCACATGCCCGGACATGTAGAACCTCCGGTAAATTGTCGGTTCACAGAAAACACATTCTTATCAGCATCAAAGCTAGCAGCGCTCACGAGGCTGAATGGCTCAAACACAAAGCGGGAAAAATGAAACAATACCCAAAGCGGGTGCATGAAAAAGAGGAGAGAGAATTGGAGAATTACAGAAACCGATTTGGTTTTTTGACCGCGATTTAGTGGTAAAAAGAAATCCTACATTATC